CACGACCCCGACGGGGCCACACACACACTCAAGTCACTTAGACAGGCACGCAGCACACTCACACAGGTCAGCCAGCATTCAGACAGACATGCAGTCCAGCACACACACACACAAGCAGACTTAGCAGGCGGGGGAACTTAGTATGGCATGCATTCCACGGCAAGACTCAGAAATCGGCTGTCTGTTTCAGTCCGTGTGATGACAGGTCATAACATTTGTGTCAAATTGAATTTCTAATATGTACTAAATAGTATTTACTTTGAACTTACTTTGAAGTTTGAACTTACTATGAACTTTCTTTGAACTTAACTATGAACTTGCTACAAAGTTTTAGTATGAACTTATATGGAAACGCCAACATGGAGAAATGCTGAGGGTATGAAATATTGTCATGCATTTTTTATTTTATTTTTTTTGTCATGGATTTAAGTTCATTTAACCCCCTCTTCCCCCCCCCCCCCCTCTTTTTCATCCACCCTGGCTCACAGGTAACTATTTGAAGTTTTATGATGCGATCAAGAAGGAGCATCCATATATGAAGATCATTTCCAATTGTGATGCAACAGTTGCGCCGCTGGATCACCCAGCTGATCTTTTTGATTTCCATGTAGGGACCAACGCTCTCCTAATCCCAATCTCAACCCCCGTCCCAGTCCCAGTTCCAATCTCAATCCCAATCTCAACCCCAGTCCCAGTCCGAGTCCCAGTCCCAATCCCAGTCCCAATCCCAATCCCTCCACCTTACTGCCTGTAAACCTCACCAGGAAATTTCAGAATATACAACTTGCTTTTCACCTTTTCACTAAGTTCTTAGTACTTACTGTTTAGAACTGAGTACTATCGACTGGTTTTTACTATGGCAACTTTTTACTGAGTTTGATTATTAACTTTGATATAAATTTGATTGTTTTAAACTTTTAACTTAAAAAAAAAAAAAATTAAAAATTACTATTTGAGTAACATATGAACTTTAATGAAGTCAATTAGCACATCGAACTCACGAAAAGCGAAGTTTCCTACATTCTTGGTCGTCCCCCACCGAACTTTAATGAGGATGCCTCTGTCTTCTGTTGATATGGCATGGCTGCAGTGAACAAAACTCTAGTTACTCTGCATTCTTGGTGGTCCCCCACCGGAGACTTGCAGAGAATATTCGTGGCAGTCACACTGGCACTTGCAGAGGATATTCTTGGTGGTCATGGCAACAAAGAAGACAAAGAAGATTTGTTCTTGAGAGAATTGCAGTCGGTGAAGAGGAAGATTTAAGCTAGGCTACCAGCCGGGCCGCCCGGGTCACCCTATTTTCCCGGGCGGCCCGGCCGTGCAAGGACCAGGGAAGGTCCCGGGCAAAAAAAAAAGAAATAAAAAATTCCAAAAAATCCGAAACAAAACTATGTAATGCAGAAAATTAAATTGAACCACTTTGCCTCAGGGTCACATCGAAATTCTGTACCAAATTTAAAATAAAATTATTTATTTATTTTTTTATTTTTTTCCCTTTTGGCCCGGCCGGGCAAGTGGACCCGGGCCACTCTGGTAGCCTAGGATTTAAGGATGTTTTTTTTTTTTTTTAACTTTAAAGAAGAAGTGAGCAAAAAACATTCTTCCTGCTCACAGCACTAAATAACAAGATTCTGGGAGCCACCCGCATTCTGTTGAGAAAATAATAGAATATCATCACTTGATTCATTTGCAAGGAACATGAGTGAGAGAGCGATAGACAGAAATCCAAGTTGCCAAATCAAGAAGTAGATCAGATAGTCATGAAAACCAACCAAGCAGAGAGTGCAATGCACCAAGATACCGTCCAAATAAGAGGAAAATACAATGAACTTGAATGTCAATGTCGCCACTCTCTGGTCACACCAACACTGTATCCAATGTCGCACTTTTTACTGTCTGGCGCCCAGCACCCAGCCTATCCTACTCGGCCTATCTAGCCTACCTACGTTCTCGCAACTGGATGACTCTAAAGTCTAAGACCAATGTACATGACGTCAACATCAATGCCGATCACCAGCATACACCAGGTACGTTCTCTCTCCTCTCGTCATCACCCCTCGTCTCCCGACATCATGCGCCTCCTACCCGAAGACCACCTTTGCCATCACCTGCCTTGCGCCCCTGCAGCCCGGCTATGGCTGCTGTGCGCCTGCTGCCCTTACAGCGCCCCTCACCTCAGCGCCCGTGCGTGCGTCCGACCAGCATGCACACGCAAACTAGCGCAGCAGCGTGTCCACATTGCCTGCTAAGGCCAGAATCCCTCTCCCAGGGGCTCACACTTTCCTTCATGGAAAGTGTGTCGCTGCTGGCTGTCCTGGCCTGGCGTGTGGGGGCCCAGTAGCTTCAGTTGGGCCCCAAGTGTCCGCGCCCAGGCCCAGTTTCCGAAACTGGACTGGGCCTCGTGCAGTTAGGCACGTCCAGGCAGCCTCCCGGCCTCCAAGCGGTTGCAGCATTCTCATTGGCTCGCGGCACATGTGTGACGACAATCCTGCTTCCTGATTGGCCCGTAACCAGTCTGGGATGTGTCGGCCTCACACAGCGTGTGCCCAGGGCGCAACCGCCTGAACCCTGGGCTCAACTGTACAGCGCAGCTCTTGAAATTGTTGTTGGATGCACTAGTGTAAGCCTTGTCTTGCCTTCCTGTTCACCTCGTAAAACTGCTGTTTTTTTTTTCTTTTCTTTTCTTTTTTGAACTTTTTCTTAGGCCTGTTCAGCTCGTAAAACTGCTGTTTTTTTTTTCTTTTCTTTTCTTTTTTGAACTTTTTCTTAGGCCTGTTCAGCTCGTAAAACTGCTGTTTTTGTTTTTGAACTTTTTGTTTTTGTTGTTGTTTTTTTTGTTTTTGTTTTTGTTTTTGTTTTTGTTTTTGTTTTTGTTTTTGTTTTTTCAACTTTTTAGTTTTTTGAACTTTTCTTAGAAGCCTTTGTCTGTGCTCTTTCGGTGGGTTGGTGTTAATGTGCGTGTTTTTTGCCGGATGTTTGCATGCATCAGGTCCAGAATGTGACCTGGTACGTGCGTGCAAACATCTATGACTCCCGGAGATACTCATAGTCTCACTTTTTTGTTTCCCTTCCTTGGAAGTTGGAGCGAGTCTCATATTTTTGTTTTCTTCTCTCCTTGCAATCACTGAACGTAAAAGGTGTATACATCATCGGCACGACTGTTCTTCCCCCCCCCCCCCCCTCCTCTTTTTTTTTCTTACTTGGATCCATCATCATGTGCTGTTTGGGTGAGTCAGCGTTAGTGTGCATGTTTGTTGCTGGGTGTTTACATGCATCTGGTCGAAAATGTGACCTGATACGCACATGCATGGGTGAGTCAGCATTAGTGTGCATGTTTGTTGCTGGGTGTTTACATGCATCAGGTCAAGAATGTGACCTGATACGTACATGCATGGGTGAGTCAGCATTAGTGTGCATGTTTGTTGCTGGGTGTTTGCATGCATCAGGTCAAGAGTGTGACCTGATACGTACATGCAAAGCATCCATCAGGCCCAGACATACTGATCCCCTCACTTTTTTTTTTTCTCTTTCCTTGAACTGAATGAATGCAAAAGGTATATACATCATCGGCACAACTCTTTCAGCTGACGGACAACTTCAATTCGTACCCTCGCAATGCTGTTAAGGTACGGAAATATCCTTTTTTTTCTTCTGTTTTCCCTGTCGGCCCTTGGTGTTCTATTCTGTTCTTGTCGTTCTCTTTATTTGGGCTGACAGCCTGACACGGAAAAAAAACTTCAAAAAAGGGGACAACTGTACCCCCACAAATGTTCTATCCCCTCCCAGGCACAAAAATGGGGACAAGTGTGGGGTGGTAGGTAGGACATTTGCTGTTCACTCCCAGCCACAGTGATGGGGAACAAATTCGAACAATGCTTCTGTATTTTACTATTTTGAATTTTCCATGGATGGACAGGACCGGTGGCCACACAGTTTTTTTTTTTTTTTTTTTTTTTTTGAAGAAGAAGAAGCTGCATGTTGATGCACCCAACTAGGAATGCTGGTACATGAGATGAGAAGTTGAGGGAGCCTTTTTGAATCCTGTTGGACCAAATTCTCATTTAATTTTCATAAATAACTTTCTTTCTAGGCTGTTTGTCCAGGTGGCCGGGCTCCGAACTTGTGCCTGGATACAAGCCCAGGCGTCGGACTGGGGCATGAACCCCGGGCAGGGTGCCAGGCAACCCCCTTTCAAACCCTTTAGCGCCTTAAGAACCAGTTTATAGTACTTTATACCCCCCTTGCCCCTCCCTTGACAGCCAACGCTCAAAAAAAGAAAGGAGCTCGGACTAGGGGCTCCTCTGGCCATTGGCAGAAAAGCTCCAACCACCCACAAACAAACAAACAAACAAACAAACAAACAAACAAACAAACAAACAAACAAACAAACAAAACCCAAAAAA